CATCAGCACCTCGGCTGAGCAACAGTCCGAAAAGACGGCAAATGTTGTTTTGATGGATGTGGTGCCCCTCTCCATTGGCGTCGAGGTGGATGACGGCAAGTTTGATGTCATCATTCGCCGCAATACCACCATACCGTATTGCGCCACGAAGGAATACAGCACCGTGGAGGACAACCAGGAGGAGGTGGAGGTGCAGGTCTTCGAGGGCGAGCGACCGCTGACGCGCCACAACCACAAATTAGGTGCTTTCATTCTGGATGGCATCTCACGTGCCAAGAAGGGCGACCCGACCATCACAGTTACATTCAGCGTGGACGCGGACGGTATTCTCACCATTACCGCCTCCGAGGAACTCGCAAACGTAAAGAAGACACTCATTGTTGAGAACACCGAGCGCCTCAGCGACGAAGCGGTGCAAAAGATGATTGAAGTGGCGCAGAACTTCTCGGCAAAGGATGCGGTGGCCGTGTCTATTATGGACGCAACGCAGCGTCTTACAAGTGGCTTCACAGAACTTGAAACGGCGCTGGCCACGATGCCACTGCCCCTCTCAAAGAAGTTACGACGGCATGTGGCGTTTCTCACGCACGGCAAACAATGGCTTGAGCAGCAGTTGCCGAACTACACAGAAACGCACGCGGTGGATGTTAAGACAACGAAGATCATGAAACTTGTGCAGAAAGCCATGAAGACACTGCAGCGTGAATCCCGCAAGGGAACAGAAAACAACAACGAAAGCGACAGCGGTAGCGATGACGATGACGACACCAATGAGAATGATGGGGACGCAGTCGGAGGATCAGGCGGGTCAACACCACGCGACTCCAGTGCAGGGAGAAAGCGCCCGCGCAGTAATCCAAGGAATGATGAGGGCTAGCCAAATAAGTTTTTTTCTTCTGCAATTACTTATTTATTATTTTTCCGTGGGCAGAATACTTTTTTTTTTGTTTTTTCGGTTTGGCCCATCCAAAGTGCTGAAAACGAGAAGAGAGACTGTGAAATTCACCAGCAGCGATGAGTCGTTTGCTTCAGTGCTTGGCGGGGGGGAGGGGAGACGATAGCGGCACTCCGTCCCACACGTTTCTTATGTTGTGTTGTCTGCGTGTCGTGCGTAGCACAGACTGTGGGACGCTCTTTCCTCTCCTTCCTTCTCTTCTTCCTGCTGTGTTGTGTTGTTGTTTGCAATGTGCACCAGAGCGAAGGAAAAAAAAAAAAAAGACGCGATGGTGAAAAAAACAACGACGGCGCCGAAGGCGACGGCAGGGCGGCGGAAGGAAGGGAAAAAAACGAAGAAGATGACGATCGATCCGAAATTACACCCCTCGACGTCGACACCGGCACAACGGCAGCAGCGGCCGTCAAGCAATAAGAAAGAGGCGCTGCAGAAAGCGCTGGTGAGTGCCTTCTCGGCACCACACGTGAATGCCCATTCAGACGCTACCGTGGATGTGGACGAGTACGGCAAGGGCAGTCCGACGGACCGGCTGCAGTTTGGCTACGCCCCTGCCATCGCCGCGGAGGCCATTGCGTTTCATTCTGCCATTCCAGCGAAGAAGTGGATTGCGGAACGGCGCAAGCAGACTTGCATTGCGATTGTAAAGAAGCAAAAACTTCCGCGGCCAAACTGCGAGCCTATGACCTCGCTGCTCAAACTAAAGGAGCACTGGAGAGAAAAGGCGCAGTTTGTAGCAGAGTTGCGTGGTGGTGGCGTTGGACAGGAATCGGCGGACGAGCTCCTGGAACTGTTTGTGTCGCAGCAACGTGTAGCGTAGTTTCTGCTGTCTGTCCTTCTCCGCTGCACCCGCGTTTAACCCATATAATGATGAATTCTCACGCCGCTTGCAGCTATTTGCGTGTCGGCGCAGGGGGGGCGTGATGCTCTTTTTGTTTTTTGTTGTTGTTGCTTCCACGTCCATTACTTTTGGGTTTTTTTCCCTCTTTCTTTTATTGACCTTGTCTTTTTGTCTCTTTTTTCCTTTTTTTTCCTTTTTTTTTTGCTGTCGCCAGCGGTGGATGGTTTTTGGTGCGCGAAAGAAGAGGGTGGCTTTAGGGGAACCATCGACATGGCAGAGGAGGTGCAGCAGCAGCAGCAGCAGCAGCGAAAAGAAGGGGACGGTGGTAGGGAGGGGGAAAAAAAGAGTCGACGGATCGGGATGGATTTTCCTCCCGTCAAAAGTCGCGAGGAGATCCTCAACTCTCAGCGGGCGGCAGTGACACAGGAGGAGATACGTCAAGGCATGCAAGATGACATCCCTCCCGTCGTGCGGAGTGTGTTGGAACTTGCCCATCTGATGGTGAGCGGCCACAGCCAGAAGCTGCGTGCCTCCCCCGGATATCAGGGGGGTCTGTTTTACGGCGGTAGCCCTTTTTGCTTCGCGAGCGGTTACCGCGACGGCACACGGCCACGCGATATGGACGACAAGGGGAACCACATGAAACTAAGGGACCCGCTTACATACGGTGTGCTCTCGCTGCCCGTGACAGCCGGCTACCTCTGTGAGATGCATGGCAAAGGCGTGTTTGACCTGCAGGCCCCTCTGGCTCACTATTTACCGGAGCTTGAAGATAAGCTGGATCCCTCTGTGACGGCGCGGAGTATTCTTGCCTTTGATACAGTTGTCGACGACAAGCAGGTGCTGAAGGATGCGGAAGCCCATTGTTTTCGTCCTCTCTTTGCGTGGAACATATGCGCCGCAACTCAGCGTTGTGTTTACAAGCCGATCAGTCGATTCTTTCAAGGGGGATCCGCCAATGCCCTCACAGGACAACAACAACGGGAGAACTACGTGCAATACTTGCGTTCCTCCTCACGTATTCGGGTGGGATTGCGTTCAAGGAGATGGCTATCCAGTCCCAAAGTTTCCCACTTTTCTGTTGCGTTGCTCATTGCAGCTGTGGAGCGGCAGCTGGGCGGTATTTCTTTTGAAGAGTCCATTCGGCAGACCGTGTTTGAGCCTGCGCAGAGCCACGGAGCCGGATATGGCCCGCCCATGTTGTGGCGTGACCCAAATGAAATGTTCTACCAACCGAGAGGCCTTTCACTGCAGCATCAGAGGTTTTTCCACCCGATTAAGACGGGGGCTCTTGAAAACTGCGGTCCACCGCTCCTGAACGCTTCCATGAATCTATACGCACCTGTGGAGGACTACGGAAAACTTTTGCTGCTCTCCCTTGACGCCATACGTCATGCACGGACAACACTAGGGGTTGCGGGAATCACCAAAGCGGGTCCGCATTTTGATTTTGGAGTGGAGTGGCTGGGTAGGAAACAGGAGCGGTGTCAGCGGATACAACTGACGCGACATGTGATGGGAATGGAATACGTTCCGGCGGCATCATCGTTTCGATACAACTGCGAACACGATTTAGGCTGTTTTGGCGTGACCAACTGCGGCACACGAAATGCATGTGTGTTGGCGAACACTCTGTCACGCATGATTCAGCACCTCTTTCTCAAGCACGTTATTAGGAAGGGAGTCGATGTGATGCGGGGGCCTGACTTGGACAACCCCGCCCAGGAGCAGAGCGAAACCGAGACAAAGTTCCGGAAGATCATCAAGAAGCAGGAATACACGAGCTACTTCAGGAAACACGACACACACAAGCGATTCTAACGACGGGGTGGTAAAGTGCCCGAAAGGGGGGAATTGGTGGGGGGGAACCGATGAATTTCGTAGCGGAGGGCGAACACAAACAAACTCCGAAGAGATTAAAGGAGTCCCAAACACAAAATTTGTTATTTTATGTTCTGCTGCACTGCTCTCCACTCATTCTTGTTGTTGTTGTTATTGTTGGCTTTGTTGTTCTTTTTTGCTTTCCATGCGTGTGTGTTTTTCTTGCCTTTTAGATAAAGACACGACAAGGCTTTCTTCTTGAAAATAAAAATAAAAAATGTGGAAAGGGCTTGTTGTTATTGGCTGTGTCGTGGTGGCTGCGGCGGCTGCGGTGCCGTGGCTACAAAAGGACAAAGAGGTCCCTAATTTCGTGGAACTGAAAGAAGTACGCACACTTTTTTTTTCCTTCGCCCTCCAGGAAGCAAAGTCGTCATACGACGCAGCAACAGGAGGTTATGTCTGGGGACGTACATTGAAGCCGTCCTACTCCGTACAGCTGCATCCTTTGAACGCTGTTCAAAGCTACACGCAGAAAAAGGAGTTTGTCTGGGTCGGAATTACCGCCGGCCCATGGCTTGTGGGAGTTGCTGTTCTTCAATTTAATTACATTTCTGTTTTCACCGTCAGCCTCTACAATGTGGACTCGGAAGAGAGTTGGAAGGCCATGACCATCGTGCCGTTACTGGCACCTTGGTTTGGCGGCAGATGGATACCCAATGAAAAGGGTAAGATGGGCCCCACTAGTGCAGGACATCGAGTGGAGTTTCATCCCCCGTTTTCCTCCCAGCGAGCCAGTCTTCGTTTTGAGGATCGCAGCATAAAAGTTGACGTCACGGGCACCGTGTGGCAACAAACGGGCAATGGTACAAGGACAGCGTCGCAGAGGTACGAAGTGCATGCCGTGGCAACCCTCCCTGAGGAATTTCTTGGTATTGTGTTCCCGCTCGGGCCGCGGCGTGCCGCACTCGTAAATAAACTGGCAGCCGCGCCTTTGCAGACGCCTCTCAACATGCGACTCAACGGAAAGGAATGGAGCGGGGAAGGGTACTTTTCTATGGACTACACACGTGGCCTGTTACGTCGCGAGACGCACTGGCATTGGGCCAGTGCCACCGCCCCCGCCGGCTACGGATTTCACCTTTCGGAAGGCACATACGATGTGGATAACAAAAGTGTGGAGAACACATTCTACACTGGCAGAAAGGCTGTGGTGCTTGACACGCGTGTGGAGTTTCGTAGAGTTACGATCGCCAATACAGCCGCGAACACGGCTGAAATATGGGATGTTACAGGAAATGGCATTCACCTTCGTTTTCGCCGTGCCGACGCACATGATGGCGCCTTTCACCTGGGCGTCGTGAACGGCAATTTGGATCATGCATGGGGCATCTTTGATGGCTTGATTTTTGTGGATGGAACGAAGTACACGTTTGATAATGTTGCGGGTGTATTGGAGGCCCACTACGCGTTATGGTGAATCCGATGTTGTTCCTTATTATGTTTCTTTGCTTCTATGCGCCCCTCTCCCCCTTCTTTTCCCTCTTTCCTTCTTCCTTCGTCCCTCTCTATTGAACTGAACTCCAATGTGCAAGTGACGTGCGCAGTAGTAACTCCTGTGGCCCATCCACTGGAAACTTATTCCAAAGGAATTATATATACAAGGGGGACGTACTTGAAAGGTCTCTTTATTTATTTTTGCGTTTCTCCTTATTTTTCACACGTCTCCGTGACGTTTTGCTCGAGCATTACATGTCTTTTTAGCGCCTTGTGTCTGCTGCTTTCTTTCCATGTATCTCCCTGTATGCGTGTGATGTGTGCTTTGCATATTTATTTATTTATTTATTTCTTTTTTTTTTTTTGGTTTATTTTTGGGGCAAAGTGTTGGGCCGCGCCTGCGCCGGAGTTGCGAAAAGACGAGCAAAATGGAGTCTTCGCCTTCATCGCTGAATTATCTCCGTGCGGTGCAACAGCTGCAGAAAAAGACGGAGGAGTTGGAACACGTGCTCGACGAGACGCACCGTCTGGAGCGTGAGAATGCGGCACTCGTGGAGGAGAAGGCAGCGCTGATGCAGGAGGTGGCGCAGCTCGAGGCACAGAACCGCGACTGGCGAGCCGAATTCGGCGTGCTCGAGGATCAAGTGAAGCGCCAACAGCGGCACCTGCAAGAACACATCGAACGAGAGGCCAAGAGGCTGCAGGAATCCAGCGCCAAGTCGCGTGAGAGTGGCGCGGAGATGGGGAGGCTCCAAGAAAGGCTTCGGGCAGCTGAAGAAGCAAGGGAGGAAGGCGCAGAAATGGCGGCGCAGTGCCGCCGTCTCTCACGCGAGGTGGCGGCACTAAAACGGGAGCTGAAATCCGCCAAGGCGAAGGCAACACATTACCACTCTTCACACACACGCACTGCAGCGGACAGTGCCGCCATGGAACAGATCGAGAGCAATGCGCTGGAAGGGGTGAGAAGTGAGATTGTATCTTTTGCGGCGGAGAACGAACGACTGATCAATGAGTTGGAGGCGGAGCGCAAGGCACGCGTGGTGGCAGAGGAGGGTGTTGTCAACCTGCAGCAGTTACTGCAGCGACAGCGCGAGGTGAGCGATCAGCAGCAGCAACTCGCCAAAGAAGAACTGCGGGCACTCAACGCGCAGAACGACGCTCTTTTGGAGGATGTCAAAATTCTGATGGAGCGAGAGGCTGCAGGCAGGAGTGACGTCTTTGCGTCGGGAACCGATGCCGCACCCCACCGGCGCGTGTCAACTGTGGACCGCGGCAGCATGACGACAGAGGTGCCATATGCGCCCCTCTGGTCGCCGTCCACGCAACGAGCAGGGGCCATTCAGCCCGTGAAACAGTACCCGGCCACAGTGGATGACGGCATAAGCACAACCACCGCGCAGGCACAAGTCCGGGAGCTGATGGAGAAGGTGCGTGATTTAGAGAGCAAGACGGCGGAGCAGGCGTTTCTCCTTCGTGAAAAGGAGGCAAACGAGCGCCTTCTCGAAGAACGCGCAGCACTCCATGCGGAGGAGCGACGGCACCTTCGCTCTCTTCTTGAAAAGGCGGCGACGCCGGAGAAGGCTAGCGAACGCTACGAGAGTAGCCATATTGTTCGAGCAGAAGCGGACACAGAGCTGAGTGCCGTACTTGAATCCATTATTGAATTACTGAGAACATTTGTGGACTGCGCCGCTCGTCTCCGTACCCGACTTTTGCTTCAGACGTCAAATACAGACTCGAGTGTGCTCCCCATCGTGCCGTGCCGTGAGCACAGCAGCCCACACCTCAACGCCATCTTTAGCCACCTCGGCGGATTGCGTTACGTCGCCACTATCATTGACGAAATAGGAGAAGCAGCCTCAAAGAGGCCCCAGAAACAAAAAGAAGAACAACAATGGGAAGCATTAACCAAAAAACAAACACCCTCCCAAACACCTGAAAAAAACTCGGACAAAACACAAGCACAGATCACTGAAGGACCGGCTTCTGCCACTCACAACACCACCCGTTCACCAAAAACGGGCTTCACCAGGTATGACATTGACAAATGGTTGATGGAGAGAAAAGAAAACCTAAAACGGCAATTACAGCACGCCAACACTCCCAACAAGAAAAACTCGAGCACATCATCACACTCCAACCCCGATTATCAGTCGGGGGAAACTCTAGAAGAGGCAGCAAAGGAATTAAAAAAGCCACATTATCGCCAAAAATATCGATAAAAATTAAAAAAAGCAAATAAAACAAATTGATACCAAATTCAATGTATACACTACAAATCATTCGTAAAAAAGAAAAACACTGAAAAAAAGTAGAGGCCTTTAATAACACTACCACGAAACGGAAAAACAGGGAAATAACCAACAAAAAAAGCTTTACCACAAACTATTCATAAATATTTCCCTTTCCTCCTTTCTCCCCCGCTCCTCCGCCCTGTGCCACGGAGCACGCCAGAGTCAATCAAGGTCGAGAGCTAACTTTTAAAAAACAGCAGGAAAGAAGAAGAAAATGACGTACGAGGGAGCCATCGGCATCGATCTCGGCACAACTTACTCGTGCGTTGGTGTTTGGCAGAACGAGCGCGTGGAGATCATTGCGAACGATCAGGGCAACCGCACAACGCCGTCGTACGTGGCGTTCACCGACACGGAGCGTCTGATCGGTGATGCCGCGAAGAACCAGGTTGCGATGAACCCGACGAACACCGTCTTCGACGCGAAGCGCCTCATTGGGCGGAAGTTCAGCGACCCCGTTGTGCAGTCGGACATGAAGCACTGGCCCTTCAAGGTCATCACGAAGGGCGACGACAAGCCGGTGATCCAGGTGCAGTTCCGCGGCGAGACAAAGACGTTCAACCCGGAGGAGGTGAGCTCGATGGTGCTGTCAAAGATGAAGGAGATTGCGGAGTCGTACCTGGGCAAGCAGGTGAAGAAGGCCGTGGTGACTGTGCCCGCGTACTTCAACGACTCCCAGCGGCAGGCGACGAAGGATGCCGGCACGATCGCGGGGATGGAGGTGCTGCGCATCATCAATGAGCCGACAGCTGCCGCCATTGCGTATGGCCTGGACAAAGTGGAGGACGGCAAGGAGCGCAATGTGCTCATCTTTGACCTTGGCGGCGGCACGTTTGATGTCACGCTGCTGACGATCGACGGTGGCATCTTTGAGGTGAAGGCGACGAACGGCGACACGCACCTGGGCGGCGAGGACTTTGACAACCGCCTCGTGTCGCACTTCACGGACGAGTTCAAGCGCAAGAACAAGGGCAAGGACCTGACGACAAGCCAGCGCGCCCTCCGCCGCCTCCGCACCGCCTGCGAGCGCGCCAAGCGCACGCTGTCGTCCGCGGCACAGGCGACGATTGAGATCGACGCGCTGTTCGACAACGTGGACTTCCAGGCAACCATCACTCGCGCCCGCTTCGAGGAGCTCTGCGGCGACCTCTTCCGAGGGACGCTGCAGCCGGTGGAGCGTGTGCTCCAGGACGCCAAGATGGACAAGCGTGCCGTGCACGACGTGGTGCTCGTCGGCGGCTCCACCCGCATTCCAAAGGTGATGCAGCTGGTGTCTGACTTTTTCGGTGGCAAGGAACTGAACAAGAGCATCAACCCTGATGA